ACGGCAAACTCATTAGTCAATAGAGCCAGATATCAACAGGACAACAACTGAAATTCCTTCTGAGAGCCAAATTTTTTAAAACTTAAACTTCTAACACCACTTCTTCAAAATAGACTTGCCCGGGTTGTGGTATTTTGTGGAAGAGCCACACTCAAAGGGCCAAAGAGCTGCGTGTGGCTCGAGAGCCGCAGTTTGCCTACCACAGCCAACAAATCTTGCTCAAGGTGTGGTACACACCAATCAAGGGCAAGGCCAAGGTCAAAACTGACACTCCCACCTGTGCTGCATGGTGCCCCATTTCCCTCCCCAGAGGCGTCAGTCAGAGTGTTGGGTGAGCATCTGGTCCCCCAGCCCCTGGAACAGAGGGGCAGCTCCTGTTCCACCCCCCCCCCCCGGCCACGCCTCCTACTCCAGCGAGTGCCCCAGCCAGGGTGGTAATGGGCGAAGGCCCACCCATCACCAGCGGGGAGTGCTCGGCTTCCCTCTGGGCACAGCGCTTGGGACAGGCCTGCAGCTTGGGGCAGTGTCTCCACAGCCCTGTGTGACCAGCGGCTGTCCCGGCTATTTTTGGTTTGTCTCCAGTGGCTGTGAAGGATTTCGCCAGCACCCCTCCCGAGAGGCCGGGGACATGTGTGGTAACACTCAGTGTCATCAGAAAACACCGGCCCCTGGCTGGGTCCCCACTGGCTCTGTGTGGGTCCCCACTGGCTCTCCGGCGCCCTCTCTTCCCCTTCTGTCACCTGCTCTGTCCTTGGCTTGCAAACTGTTCCAAAGATCCACACATGCAGGTCAGCCATACCAATAACACATGCCTGAGGTGTACAGACTTCGGAGTGCAGAGGGAAGCTGCTTTTTCTCGGATGAAAAGGGAGAAAGGGCAGGCCTGTTCCCAGCAATGCTTCCCTCGGAGAATCCTGGCAGAAGGCCACACACAGCCAGGAGTTATTTCCCTCCCCTCACTCCTCCGCCTACTTCCCATTAGCAATGGAGGCTAGGAGAGCAGAGCTAAGGCAAGATGCCAACTCAGCTGCCAGGACCCTCTAACCACTGCACCTACCTGGCTACTTTTAAAGGCCCAGCGACCCCAGAAACCTGCCCCCAGTCTTTCCCCTGCCTCTCCTCTCTCTCACACCTTCTCTTTCCCCTGCCAAGACCCCAGGAGGATTTTCCCTAAAAGATGCTCAGGAAGAGCCTAAAATCAAGCAAAGGCTGCATCCTCCATCTGGCCATGGGCCGTCCTCCCATCAATCAGATTCAGTTTATGGATTACTTTACTGAGCCATTCCAGGTCTCCCTGCCCGCGGGAGCCCGTGGGCCCGAGGGCGTCTCCTGAAATGAGCTCTTCCACGCTGCTGTCTCACGCAGGCAGGCGCTACTGGAAGGAGGCAGGGAGAGAGGGTTCAGGACAGTCAGAGCCTGGATTGGAGGTCAGCAGTGATGCCAACACCCTAGGTCATGGCTGTGTGCATTCCCAGGACACGAGGGTGCACACAGGGCCGACTGTGTCCAAAAAGGATTCAGTCCAACTCAGTGAGGGGACAGGCAGCTCGGACTGGAGGCCCCAGGAGGCCTCGTAATGATGAGTGCCCTTGGACACGACAAACACCCACCCACAGGCCTGCCACAGGCCTAGATGGAGGACACGGGAGAGGCTGTGGAGCCGTCCCTCAGGAGCCCCTCCTCAGAATCCCCAGTGTCCCTGACATGGCATTCGCTGGCCCCAGTGACCACCTGGTGGAGGGGAAGGAGGAAGTGGATGTAACTCCCTCCGATTTGCTGCCATCGGCTCAAGTCCACCGTGGCTGTGACTGAACTCACCCTTCTCCCCCAAGAACCGGCTCCTTGTACCAAATACCTTAAAACCCAACGTCAAACCCGAGGTCAACCCAATTCCCATCTCCCCTGCCAGTCACCACGCCCCGAGGCTCACCCAGTCTTTCTTCTACATCTCACACCTCCCTCCGTTCATTCCCTCCGGTATTACTGCAGTTCAGCCCCTCAGAGCTCACCTCTGATTTTTACCAGGGAGTTTGCCTGTTTCCCGGCCATCAGCCTCTCTTTCCACGACTTCGCCTGGCACGCTGCTACCAGGCTGTCTCATTAGGCACGGCTTTTATCACCTTCAACTGCTCTTAGTTAAGGTTCCCGCCAAGGCAGACAGCAAGACGCTTAGGTTCATTCCTTTATCCCACGGCGGCGGGGAAGTGAGCAGGGGAGCCTGCAAGGCGCACGGAGGAAGGGACTGCCACTGTGGGCACCTGGCTGGGCCCTGTGGGCAGGGGAGCTGCCAGAACGCCCACCTGCATGCCCCCTGGCGGAGGCCTGCCCCTCAGAGCATACTCCCGCCCCCAGCAGCCCCGCCCCCTGCAGCGCCCAGAGGACCTCTCCGGCCGGGGGGACAGCGGAGGGCTGTGGAGCTGTCCAGCAAGGCTGCTGTGGACTCTGGGTGGTGGGCCATGGGCACGCCGGGCAGGCGTCAGCAGCACCTCCCTCCCCTGCTCGGCGTCTGCGGGAGTGAGTCCTCCCTCCTGGGCCTGCCTTCCGGGGAGGGCTGCAGGGTGCCCGGGTAAACTGCCCACCCGCCCACCTCTGTCAGCTAACAACGGACAGTATAAGTTACCTCGAATGGTGCACTCACCTCCTAAAAAGTTGTTCATTGTGTAGCTACGATTCTACTTTAACTGGACGCTTGGCATTTTTATTTGCTAAATCTGGCAACCCCACTTCCAGGCCCTCCTTGAGCTGGCCTCAGTCCCTCTCTGATTTCTCTGAATCTGAAACCCTTCCCCCCATGCTAAGGGGCTCTTCGCTGCACCTGGAAGCAGTCAGCCAGCCCCCGAGCCCATGGGGTGCTCAAGCTGGTTCCCTATCGGGAGTAGTCCCTGGCTTCTCCCATGTGTCTCCTCCTGCCACCATCTCTGGGTCTAATCTCTCTCACCTCACTCTGCCCTCCCCGCTGACTGCAGGTACTGCCTACACCTGGGGTCATCTGCAAGCATCCATCTTAGTTTCTGTTAGATCGTAATGCTCACCCAGCTCAACACGATGATCAAAATCCCCCTGGTCCCATCAGCAGACGCAAGCCCTGGGGGGGGGGGGGGGGGTTGAGGACAGAGCCCTCCTGTTCGCCCCTGGATCTCACAGAGCATGGACATGAGCCCTGCAACAACTGAGTGAGTGGTACTTTGGGTCAGGGCTGGCTCGTGTCAAGAACATTGTCTAAAGTAGCCAAAGTCATTGCCAGTAGCAGGAAAGGTGGCCAGAGTACCCCAACTATATGGCGGCTTTTCCACATTCACTGCCTTTCCTCTCAGTCCCTTTCCGGGTCTGGATTTTGTCCGTCACCCCAACCCCCACCCCCAGCGCCCAGGCACATATTCCAGGCCGCACTTGGGATGGGTCCCGCCATCAGCCTCAGCACAACATGGCCTGTCCGGTGAGCAGTGTCAGTTCTGCTCTCCTCCCCTCCCAAGTCAAGTGATCTAATGCGGATGCAATCGCTAGACGTTTATATAACACTTGACATTTGTAAGCGCTTTCCCATGAATTATTTCATTGGAGCATCACTGTAATGTAGGCAACGAATTATCTCTGTGTGACACCGAGTGGTTAAGGGGCTCTGGGAAGGTTTGTAGCACTAATGTGTAACTTTTCACTTACAAAGATGTGGTAAAGATGTTTTTGCATTAGCAACGTACACAGAGTGTTTCATTTCCAAATAGAATGCTTATGAAAAGGAATGCTTATTTGTGCATATTTGAGGTCACACGACAGTCCGGGGTCCAGTCACCTGCTCAGGGAGCCTCCCCCGGCAGGGAGGACTGGCCGCCTCATCTCACTTCAAGCTGCTCCCCAAATCCGGGTCAGATGTCTGGGGTCAGCGCCCCGGACTCTACTCTCCCTCATCCAAGCGTTTTGTACACAGAGACCTGAAAGGAGCTGTGCTCAACAAACTCCGGAGGAAAGTACCTAATGGGGTTCGCAGGGGAAAGTGGGTGCCGGCCACACCCCAGCCCCGCCCTGTCGCTGTCAGGAAAGGTTGTCCGCAATCAAGTGGCAGAGGCAGCTCACTGCGCACTCACCCAGAGCCCAAGACCTGCCACTGGACTGAAAACAACATTGCATTCTCCCTGGAGCCCCGCGCTGTGTGTGCACACTCACTCACTGTGGTGGCGCTGGGCGTGACCCAGCTGGAGGTTTCCACCCCCGGATTCCCCTTGGGGAGGCTGGGCAGGCCTGCGGGGGGCTGGGGAGGAGTGAGGAGGGCAAGCGACCGCGGATACCTAGGCAGGCAGACCTGGGGGGCGGGAAAGGCGGGGAGGCGCACACCCCAACCGCCTTCCCTTCTGCTGGGCAAAGTCAAGCCGCAGCCTGATCGAAGTCGCCAAAGTCCGGGCTGGGCTGCCCGCGTGGCCGGGGCTGAGGCGCACGCTTTAGGAATCGCTGAACCCCCAAAGGCCGAATGTGCTGGAGGAGAGGGCTGGCGAAGGGAATGGCTGCAGAGAAGGTCCCTGCACCCCGCCCAGAGACACGCAGAGGGAAATTGGGGAGGAAAGAGGTCCCTTTGAGGGCGCAGCCACACAGCACCCCGCTCCCCCGCGCTGTCCCCACCCACTGCCCCTCCCCGCCGTCCCCGCGTCCGCGCCCGGCTCCGCCTCCCGGAGCGCAGTCCACACCGTCCTTCCCCGACAAAACAACACCGCGCACCCCTCCCGCCCCGCGGAGCGAGGCTACGCCCAGCCCGCCGGCCGGCCCGGAGCCGCTCCGTCCTCCGCCCCCGCCCCGCACGCCCGGCGAGCCCGGCTGCACCGGGAGAGACAGAGCCGATCGGGGCCCCGCTCCCCCCGCCGGCGGCCGGAGGGTGGGAGGGCCCGGGGTGGGGGGGACCGGACGGGAGGGCCCCGGGGGACGGGAGGGGCCCGGGGCGGGGGGGGGGGGCGGGCGGGGCACGCACGGCGCCGCGGCCTGTTAACCACTTCGTGGCCGGGACGCGGACTCACCGGGATGAGCACCCGCAGCGAGCGCCTCTTCGGGCCGGGGTTCCTCCTGCCGCTGCCGCCCGGGCTGGGCACATCCTTCTTCTTCTTGGCGTCCATGGCCGCGCTTCCCATAACTTTACCCACAAGTTAATCCCGGGCGCCTCGCTCCCGGAGCACGGTCCTCTCCCGCCCAGCCCGGGCCTGCCGGCGGCCTCGGGCTGCGCGCCCGTCACCACCGTCCTCCCCCGGAGACCCGCGCGGGGCCGGCGCGGAGGGCGGGGGAGCAGGTACCGCCGCCGCCGCGGAGGGACGGCGGAGCGCCGGGCCGGTTCCTCTTCCTCCCGCGGGCTCCGCAGGCGCCGGGTCGCAGCCACGCCGTCCGGTGCCGGTCTCTCCCGCGTGGCGCGTGGCGCGCGTCTCCAGCCGGAGACAAAGTTTTCTTCCTTTTGCAAAGGGAGCAGCGCTGCCACCCGGCTCCGCCCACCGGTCCCAGAGGCGGTGCAGGGCAGGTGCACTGACCCCGCGCTCTGGCAGCGCGCGCCTCGGCCCGCGTCCCGTGGGGACTCCGGCGAGGGTGCGAGTGTGTGCGAACTTGACCCTGGGCCGCGGCACACCGGCCGGAGCCGGAGCCCGGAGCCCGGAGCGGGCGTCCCCCGGCGCTGGGCGGGGGGAGGGGAGAGGAGGCGCAGACGCGGCGGTCGCGTGGGGCTCGGGCTCGGTGGCGAGCACAGGCTGCGGTGCCGGCCCTGCGGGCAGAGGAGCCGCGGGCCCGGGGCGGGGAGGGGCGGGGGCGGCGGACGGCGGGCACCAACAGGAAGTGCGCGCCATGCGCTCCGGCGCTGCCCCCGCGCCCGCCGCGTGCCAGGCGGGTACGGGCTCCCTCCACCGCGCCCGGGCCGCGGGTCCCGCTGCTTTCGGCCGGGGCGGCGGCCCGGGCGTGCGGTCCGGCGTCTGTACCGGCGCCGGAGCCCCCGGGCCCACGCCCTGGGTCCGCAGACCAGCCGCAGCGGAAGCGCCGACCCCGGTGGGTGCGCATCGCGGCGGCGCGGGCGGCGGGTTCCCGGGCTGCGCCCCCAGCTGACACCCCCCCCCCCCCACGCCTGCTCTCTCCAGCGGCCTGGACACGCGGGGTCCCCAGCTTGCGGCCAGAAGCGGGTGCGGAGGTCCCCACGCGCCGCCGCGGTCCTGGAGAGCCCCCGCCTCCCATGCTGCCCGCCGGGCCGGGGCCGCGGGGTTCGCACCCCGCACCCCGCAGGGCGCGACCTCGGCCCGGCTGGAAGCGCTGGTGCTGAGGACCAGGGCCCCCAAAGTCTCTCCAGCGCCCCGAATGCTGACGTCAGCCTGCTGTGCCCCGTCATCAGTCAGGCGGGAGGCGGCCGGAGAAAACACAGGTCGCTCTGGGAGCGCCAGGGCGATCAGTGAGGGACACCCTCAGGTGGCTCCCCCGCCCCCGCCGCCAGGGCACCCCGTTCCAGCCATCTTTCCAGCCGTCCTTCCTACCCCAGGTCCCAGCGTCTAGTTGGGTGGCTCCTGGTGGCTCACAGGGGCGGGTGCAGGTGGGTTTGTCCTCCTCCGGCCCTGCTCTCCAAACCCTGAGCGAAGCCAGGCCAGGAACGCCGGGTCTGAGCGAAGCCTGGTGACAGAAGTCCCATGCTCTGGAGAAGGGGCGTCTGGGTGCAGGAACCGGGTGGCCTGTGGCCCCTAGCTGTGGAATTCCTGCTTTGAGTTTTTTCTGTATTTTATTATTATTTTATTATTATTATTATTTTTATTTATTTATTATTTTTTTTAAGGAAGGGATATATGCACCCTATGCTATGACGTTTTTCTGACTGCCTGTGTGTTGGGCGGGGGTGGGCGGCGGGAGGGGGGGGCGACAGGCCGCATTATTCCATTAGATGCTGGGAGCGCGGCTTAGGAGCAGACAGGGGCTGGCCTTGAGCCTGAGCGTGGGGCTTAGAGGAGGGACGGAGCCCACCTTCACTCAGCATTAAACTGTCGTTAAGGTTCATGGCTTCAGCTAGGAAGTTTAGTCCTGGTCACAGTGGTGATGTGCCAGGTGTGCGTTTCCCAGCAATGGATGCGAACAGGTTTTGAAAGGAAAGAGGGGCACAAGTCACGGATTCAGGAGGAGCCCCTGGGAAGGGTCCCTGGGGGAGGGCTCAGAGGCAGGCAGTTTGTTTTCCTACTGCCCCCTTGCCCAGGGCCCGTCAGGCCTGGTGGGAGGGGTGGGCCTGGCAATTGTTATAATGCGTACTTTGTCAGCTGACTTGTGTAAATGTGCTCATGCATTCATTAATAAAACTAATTTGTTCTCTGAGTTTATTTTGTTGGGGTGTGGATTTTAGTGCCTGGAAATCTTAAGTCAAAACATTTTAACAAATATCTTTTTTGTTGTTGTTGTTTTACATGTTAATTTTTTTTTTTTTTTTTTTAGAAAAATATGGGTGTTTCTTCTTTGGTACCAAATGAAGCTTACCAGCCACTTTTTCTATTGGAAAGAGATTAATACATGGATCATACATTTTTCCACCAATGGGGTCTTACAAGGGAGGAACACAGTGTCTTGCTTTGGGTTCCCTTTGAACCCCCTCTTCACCTCCACCTCTCAGCCCACACAGGTATTTTAGCCAGTAACTAAGCATGGAGTGCCCAAGCAGCAGTGTCAATATAATGGCCCCACCATGGTTTTGGAATGCCCTGACCTGTGACTTCCTTCTTAAAAATAATGCTATAAAACCTACACGGACAGCATGTCAACAGTTTAGTTGAAGACTGCATTGCTGGTTTTGTTTTTTTGCCTCAGGTTCCAATAGTGCTCAGCTGAGCATTGTTACTGATCCTGTCTTTATGAAAAAAATGTGATTTGGGGGAGTGTAAAATAAAGTTTATATATACAATAAATGTTTGTCTTTCTAAGAATAAAGCAGAGGCTCTTAGTGGTCACCAAATACCTATGTGATCCCCTCCACTTTTCAGTGCCTGGCAGTCAGGATAGGAATATACAACTAATTCTGGCCCATGAGATGTGACTAGACTCAGCGTGTTATTACTTCCAGGTCAAGCAGTGAAGAATTGATGTGTCTCCTCACTTTCCTTCCCTCTGCTGCCATGATCTCGGAGGCCATGTGCTGCGGATGGCATTCGGTGAGAGAGAGCAGGGCAACTCCTACCACAATGTACTTGTGTTGGGTTACACCACTGAGATTTTGATAATTATTTATACAGCATAACCTTGCCGATAAGAAATGTTACACTGAGCCTAGCTGGCATGGCTCGGTGGTTGGGCATCGGCTCATGAACCGGGAGATCACAGACAAACCGGGAGGTCATGGTCTGATTCCCGGTTGGTGCAAGTGCCCGGGTTGCAGCCTCAATCCACAGTGTGGGGAGGCAGCCAATGGATGATTCTATCTCATCTTTGATGTTTCTGTCTCTCCCTTTCTGAAATCAATAATATATATATATATATATATATATATATATATATATATATATAATTTTAAAGGAGTATTGCACTGAGATAGTATTTATCTTGATAGCTGAGTTTTCTTGTGCTCCCTTCAATTTTATACCCAGGACAAGTGCCTCATTTGCCTCAGCTTGCTTTGTGGCTCTGTCCTGGTTGATGGAAGGGTAACAGAGGTGAGCCAGGGCTGTGGGCGGTCCTGGGAACCAGCTTGCCTATGATAGAAGTACGACTGGAGTCCCACCCTGGCACTGCCACTGGTCTGCTGGGGGACCCTAACCCTAACCCTAACCTGCTCCCCATCTCTAAGAGGAGTAAGATGGCCTGGAGAAGATTTCCCAGGCCTGTGCAAAGGGGCATGTGTTCTACCCTGGTTATACTTGGTTTGTCTTTGTTAATTGTTTCTTTAGTAATCCCTTTTATATTGAACATTACAAAAATTCATGAATTGAGAATTAAAAATACAGAAGCAAACAAAAGATCCCGGACCTTCATCAAGGTGGTTTAGGACATTGCTTCTCAGCAAAGATGCTTCCATTTGGAGCGTCATCTGTCTAGGCTGGTAATAATGAAATGCTAGGCATCATATTAGGTCATTCATATTATCTTACCTCCTTCTATGAAAATACCCTAAGAGAATTACCATAGTCATTTTTCAGATAGGAAAACTAAGACCTAGTTGTTAGAGAGTTTATTTGTACTCCTTTAACTTCTGTCCAACCAGGGTGTGTGTGTGTGTGTGTGTGTGTGTGTGCGCGCTTTAAAATGTCTTTTCAGGGGAGAGCAGTGATCTGTGTAGTCAGGAAGGCAGTGGCTCAATTCTGAGCAACAAGCAATTCTTAGAAAAATGAAACAACAGGAATCTGGACTCAGGACTCTGCCAGTGCTTGGATAACTCGGACACGGAGCAAAGGGAGTGTTATCTAATCATGCAAACCAGGGCTAAGAGTCATTCCAGTTTTTATTTTCCTCCAAGTTGGGCACAGATTGCATAACCTCGGGCAGCGTTTGCGCCCTGGTGCACGTGGAACGAGTAATATCGATCCCATGGAGACAGAGGCGGGCGCTGAGGACCCGCTGGGAGGGCTGCCTTGGGACAGCACGGCTCTTCCCCGCTCTTCCCCAGGTCCCTGTGGGTTTCCGGTGGGGCCGTGCCAGCCACCTCTGTGTCTGTTCAATGTTCCCATCCATAACCGCTAGGCCATCCTGATCATGGGATCCAAGAAGCCCTTTGGATGAAGGTAAGGTAACCCTGTGGCAATAATCTCCCAAGGGACACTGCTGCTGACACCTTTTCTCCAGAAGACAGCAGTGTGCTGACCAGCTCAGCTCTGTGCTCACACACCCCGCTGTCCTGCAGAATGACAGACCCGGCCAGCAGGGCGCAACCACCGGACACTACCCCTGAGGTGTCCGTTTGCTGAGTGAAAGAGGAGGCAGCCTCAGCAGTGTGCTCCCTTCCTGGACTAAAGGTATCGAGGATCACGGCAGCAGCATTCGGTGGGAATGGTCTATGGTTCACTTGAGTGACAGTTTCCCATGTGACCTTTGTCCTAATGGTCAGGCATTACCTGCCCTCTGGCTAAGGGTTCAGGCTCCCTAAGCTGCAGGCTTCTGAGGAAGGGTCTGTGTGTGCTGGTCCTCCACTCACTTCTGAACTTGGATCGCACGGAAAGCAGACAGATAAACCCTGAACACCACCGTGACCTGACTGACGCAGGACGCATTTCTGACCTCTTGCTCCGTCATCTACTTGAGACAGGATTAAATAATGCAAGTTCATTGTGATGGTTTCCCGAACAAATGAAAGTAGTCTGGTAGCTACACTGGCCCCTCAGCACATGTAGGCAGCACACACATGAGCCTGACTTGGATGAGTGGTTGTGCCTGAAGCTGTGGTTGCCAGCAC